CAGATTGCATGCTTTTGCGAAGGACTTGTTGCGGGTTTGAGTTGAAGAACTGGGAAGCTCTCGGTTTGAAGTCGTCCAATGTGGCAATGGACCTGCAGCAAAAGAAATTGTACGGGGTCATACGAGTTAGTGATTAGACGAAGCGTGTTTCCTTTTATAAGTTGGATTTGCAAGTGCTTCCTAGCCTAGTGTTTCCAACCAAGCATGTCAATGGGAGGAAACTCCGGTTGTTTTTCTCGGCTTTTATTTCATAGCTAAAGTCAACAAGCTAAGAAGAATTATGTAGATATAACCCTTTTGAAGCATGTCTTGTTTGCTATGTCAACAGAAGGTAAGAGCCTTGCAAGCATGGTTTAGAATCTATGTGCTCTCCACCTACAAAAGATGTGTCGCCTTAAGGTGTCAGCAGGTCTTAGAGTACTTTCCTCATATGTAAACACATTAACAAAGACTAGCAGGCCAACATTCGAGCCGCTGCATTCTCTTCTACCAACTGAAGTCGTTCGATAGTCTTGCAGCAACCCTGCGCTTTATGTTGCTGATATGCTGATAGCGCAGTGCTTTTGTCAGTACTCTCTTAGCAGTCGAACTACCCTTGTAGTGTTGTAGCATGCGAACGGGAACAAGGAACAATTCTAGAACTCGATGTGACAGGTTGAAATAATTATGACTCTCTCTTTCCAGTTACTATTACTGCCTAACATCTTATTTGTTGCCGTTATATTTCGACATTATACTGCCGTGTTTCACAAAAAGCAACCTTTCAACATCTACCTCGGCCACCAAAAGCAAGGTGTGTTTATTTAACACTTTAAACTAACTCACGTAGGATCAGCCACGCCTGCAGTGATATGAAGAAAGAAAGCCGTTGACTAGAAGCAACTTTCTATGTCGTGTTAGGCGGTGTATCAAGGTTTGAAAATAAAGTAAAGCCGCTCTTCTACGTGGCGCTCCACAAAATGATTAATGAATAGGAGCTCTGTGTTCGAAGTAAAATCGAAAGTCAAAGTCTACAAGTACCAAAACTTTTTAATTAATTCAAACTTCGCTTGAACAATTTTTACTTTCATTGGTATTCCTAACAGGGACACATTTCCTTCAGTCTGTTAGCCCACATCCTCAATAATGGGAGAGGCTATCATCGTTCCTTCCACAAAGTCAAAATTTCCATTTTCCCAACTTTTTTGTCAGCTTGATAGTTACCGAAAACCAGCGTTCGCCACGGTTGACAATTCAAACTCCATTTAGTTGAATGATGCTGAAATATAACTCGTATGTAATTCCGAGATATTTGTAAAACTCCGGACCGCAGGTGTTTGCGGTGGGGAACGAACGCGCGCTATTGTCCTTTCCGGGGAGTAGCGCACTTTACCACCACACCACGCGGGTTCTTTGTTTCGCTTGTCTCTCAACTAGTACTATCGATCAGTGCCATCAGCTATCAACTATTATCGGGATTGATCTGAGGAGCCCAAATCAGCATTGAACCCAGTTAAGCTGAGGTTGTAGTTACATATAATTATACACATAATTATATTATAATTACAGCCTCCATGTACTTGTTTTCTTTTATCCGTCGCTTTCTATACTGAAAATCAAACTTTTTTTGAGTATCCTATAAATCGTCTCTTTTACCACCTTTGATAATTTTTGACACTCTGTCTTTAAGGGATCTCTAACGCCTACGCCTGAAGGAAATGACAAGAAGGTAAGTTAAAATTTTAAAATGACGTAATGTGGTAAAAGGAATCACCTCCATGAATCTTCTTCACATCTGTGGGAGAGTGTTCAGAGCTCACAAGATGCCTGCGCAGTGAACAGCTTATCGCCTATGGATAACGCCAAGGCGGCGATCTGACAGAGGCGTAGCACGGCCCGTGGAATGCGTTGTCCAACCACGTGGTGGTTTCATTCATGTAATTTATCTTCCTGTTTCGCAAAACTATTAATGCATCTTCAGAGCTCTTTTTGTAATAAAGCAGTTCTTGAATGTTGAGCTTTCTTCTCATAGTATTATCAATGTGAGAGCGTGTTCTGCTTTTAACGGGTATGTGCCTCTCATCCACGGCTTTAATATTACAAAATTATGTCGTTAACCATTCAATAAAATCTTGCTTCTTTTGAACTACTTTATATGACCGTGCAAAAATAATTGTTGGCTTTGAACGAGGACTTTGGAACGGTGCAACTTAACTCGAAAAGGACTGTGTTAATTAAAATACGATAAAGCGATGAAGGGATGAAGCTCTCTGCGTTTATCAATCCTTAAAAGGTGCGCCGTTCATTTGACTTCATTAAGGACCGTTAGAGGTGATTGAATGCATATCTGGCCTGTACAATCACTCGCGATGGACTACCGATATATCAAATTAGCACTAATTTCCTCCCTGAGATGTCTGGGACCAATTTGCCGACACCGGAGCGATGGAGGCTTGGTGGTTCTAAGGTACGGGATCAATCTCATGTGTATAGCAATGCACCTCTAGCCACTGCGCTATCCTACTCAAATGCGATGTAGGCAAGAATCTGTAGATTTTTGTTAATGATGTTGAATTTTATCAATCTGATAGCTTAAAACGCCATTGTTCTGGTGACAGCGAATTCTTCAAAAGCATTTTTTGAATGGTTTACTCGTTGAAAATTTTCTAAGGTAATAGTCAAGAAGCTTCAAAAAGGTAATAGTTGTTTAGCGGTGGGGAGAGCGGTGGCTCGCAGCCTAACTCATCGAGCTACAGTAGAGTTAGCTGTGAAAGTATGATCGAGCCTGTCGCGCATGAGGATTAGACCTTTCCTATTAACCACGTTTCGATACAAATGATGGGCTTTTTGTGAAATTTCGTTGGTTTCACCGACAGTACTTCTATTGCTTCACGGGACAGAGGATGCTTTGTTAGGTGATTCCTTCTATCGAAGAGGAAAAGGTCACCAAAAACATCGTTTAGCAAACTATACTTCACACGATGCTTACAAATGTCATGTTATCATAGAGAATCTATTTCCTATTCTATGTCATAACACTAAGATGGAATGGGTCGTTTATTTTTGGTTGAAGGAAGCGCAGAACGAAGTTTATGACGACTACCACAGTGTTGCTGAGATATTCGCAAAAGTTGAACCTCAGGTGAGATCGAACCACGACTACCCTTTTCGGGAGCTCATAGGTTACACATTGCACCATTGAGGCTCTTGCTTTGTCTTTCTCTCAGTAGTTCTTACCCAAATAAGGCCATCAGCAGTCAGCCTTCATTGGGATTGATCTGGGAGAGCACAAATCAGGATTGAGCCGAGTTAAGCTGATGCTGTAGTCGAAATCATAGTGTTAACCTTTCATTTACTGCCTACGGTAATTGTTCACGACAAAGGATTATGTGAAATGTCACCACAGTGATCCTGAGATATTCATAAACTTTGGATGTCAGGCTAGATCGAACCACGATTGCCTTTTCCGGGAGCTTGCGGGTGAGGCCACTGCACCACTGAGGCCATTGTTTTGGCTTTCTCTCAGCTATTCTTCACGCTAACGATGCTATCAGTGTTAACGGAAATGATATGAAGAGAACAAATTGGCAACGGACTCAGTTAAGCTTAGGCTGCAATCGAAATCACATTGTATAACGTTTATGTACTGCTTAATGTTTTTCCATGGAAGGGTATTACGAGAAACACAACCACAGTGTCGAGTAACCTTAAATTTCCCACTCTTATGCAACCGTTCGATTAACATTTCAAAAGACTAACCACCTAAGGACCACCTTAACCACCTTAGAAAACATTGATCCTTTACATAATTTTCCATAGTTCCAGTTTCGCTTGTAAGCTTTAGATGTTAGTCGTGCATTTCTAACGTGTGCTCACCACCTTCTTCGTCATGAACAGCCACATTTCCAGTGCAGTCTTGAGAGCCATGTCAGCACTGTGCAGTCGGAAACCTTTTCTCGGTCAACGCTTTGGTGGTATTCCGAGAGTAGCCGCTGTCTTTTCATGTTTAGAATTAACGATAGCTTTTCAAGAACTACTGAAGAATTGGGAAGACAACAATCTAATAGAACAAATCCTACCCTACTGTTGTAAGCATACGCATCAGGTTTCATTGGTATAACCTTATTTTGGAATTTATTCGGTTAAAACCTCTAAAAATCCGAGAAGAAAACTTAGTTTTATAAAAAAATTAATGGCGCTTGTGCGGCAGCCGCTAACACCTTGTAGTCCAGGAAGAAATCCTCTTTGTTCAATTGCTTTGCTGTTCGCATTACGAGACTTGGCGAATGAAAAAGAAGGAGAAGCGTTTGTTCTGTAAACCCCCAAAAAATAGAATTTCATCGGAGTAAAATAACAGACAGGTAAGGTTTGGTGACGTGGAATTGTTAGTAAGGAAATATGTATACACACTGAGAACCTGGAGAACTTGTGGGATAGGTGGATATTGTAGCTGCACGAACTCCACTTATAACGTCGCTTGTTTAATGCCCTTTCTCTGTAGCGAATCATAGGCATTTTCATGTCGTCGCTGTACAATAACGTACATGTTTTGATTTTTTAATAAGCTTTTACAAAGTTATAAATCCTTTGTTATGGATAACCTTCCACTGGTTTCGCCTTCTTAAAGACTACGATGATACCACTCGAGTGTCCACAGCTTTCTCTTCTTCTTGGAATGCTGGTTTTTGTTACTGTCGCATCGAGACGAATCGATAAATTGGATAGCGTCTCCAGCTCTACCCATTTATACACGACTCTAGCCTCGATGAAGTAACCTGCCTTCCCTTGGCCAGCATACAGTTCGTTCGTTGGATGATTGCCAACCGAAATCATTTGCCTCCTTGATGATATTCCATCGTGCAGTTGTCGGATTTGCATTAGCTGACATAGAAATCAGAATCATAATGGGTGTCTCACAAGTGGTGTAACTGTTGTCATTCGAGGTTGGAAATGATTTTACGCTATCAAAGCTGATCAGCACTATCTTTTGCCGAAGAGGGCGAGTATGCTTCATTTTCTTCATGTGCGATGGAAAATCAGTTGAAATGCTCTTCTGGTTGGTTCAACCTCGGCATTCAGAACGCGAAATTGCTCGCAGTATTAGATATCTCTCTAGTGCATGGTTTCTGATATTTGCCTCGACACACGTCGTCGCCGAGAAGGCCGAGAAGGAAGTACAGCTCTTCTTCAACAATGGTGAGAGTTTCTCGACTGTCAAAAAGGTTAGCATAAAGTACTTTTCATGATCCTTCACAAACAACATTCTACCTCCATATAAATGTTCCTCTAAAAAATAACCGCTCACATTGCCTTGTGTTCACAAGGACTGCTTGTGTATCAAACAACGCTTTGCATTTTCCGTTAGTAGAGCCTCTGAGTCACTCTAGAACGCTTTTCATAGGAGGTGAACATCTTAACATCTTAACAACAAACATCTTAACCGCCATCCTCTAATAAAATTAAACAAGACGCCATCAGAGTGCTCTCGAGACCAGAGGTTATCACATAGAAACTTTGTTCATTGTACTGAAGGATAACTGTACCTCTGAACATGCGATACTACAAAAATCGGTAGAATTGGTGGCTTTATTGACAAAAGAGGCGCGTGTGGCACAGTGGTTGGACGCGTCATGCAACACACACGTGGAATCGACCCCCGCTCCCATTTCCCACCAAGCGTTCGATCCCTCTAGGGTCGGTAAATTGGTATCAGACTTGCCTGAGAGGATAGCAGCACTGGATCGATACATCGGTAGGCCACCGCGAATCATTGTAAAGGCCAGATATGCATTCAATCACCTCCAAACGATGCTTAATGAAGTCGAATGCATGGCACATCCTTTAGGGATTGATCAACGCCGAGAGCTTTATCCTTCAAATTTTGTAATGGCACAACCTACAACGAAGATGGTCGTTATGCTACAGAAAATCGATAGCTTCCATAAAATGGCTGTTGTGACGTTGTCGGAATAGGCCTTTCGCTGTGCAAGATGTTAGTTCTTGTGAAACATGAGAAAATGGGAATTTCAAGAAGTGGACCTTTTAAACCACCATCAGTTGGGATTCGCCCACTTTTGCAGGCAGCTTTTAGGAAAATATTATCTACCACATCGACAAGAAATACGACCGGTTTACCACACGTAAGACCAGAAGTTCGAAAGTAATCTCAACGGTTCTTCTTTCCGAATTCCGTTATGCTATCATGTTCTGCCATGCTGGTGAAGAATCGGGATCGGAGAAAAACTTAGAACAGGGAGGAACTGCACTTCCGACTGCTAAGGGATTAGAACAGAACATCCAAAGAAACATCCTGGTAGCTTCGACTATGAGGTAGATGTGATGATGGAAACTCTGGACACAAAGTCTCTTCCTTCAGTCTACAGTCTTTTGCTAACGCACAAAGATCCTGTATGAGCTGTGTAAGAATTTTAAGACCACAACTTCGGCATCCTATGATAACGACATTGTTAGAGATATTATCTCTTCAACACTATTTGAGCCACATCTGTGGAGGTGTATGTTGATTTAGGGTGACGTGGAAGCAAAAATTGAGGACTGGTATGTACAGAATATTGGCGAAACTAATGGCATCTTTTCTAAAGCCTTAAGCACTAGCCAGTTAACTTGATAGGTGAATTGCTTCAGAGCTGACTAGCCACTTAGGACGTTCGTAAGAAGATCAACGATGTAGTGAATAACAGTACAGTAAGCCTAGTTCTTACTGCGCTCACTTCCCTAAGCTTACAGTTTCTCCTCTTTTAACGTACAGCTCAGAAATCTGGGCGCTGTCTCGTGATATTACCTTAATAAATGAGGTACGAAAGATCGACCGACGTTGCGGAAAATGGTATTGAGAATGCAACTCTGAAGGTACCTTTCACTGCGCAACTCAGAGAGGGATTTCGGATTTCTTACACACGTCGACGCTGTGGTTTAAGAGAGCATTATATACGCGGCTACTCTGCTAAGCGACTAGGCGACGAAGCAATCTGGACTTTGTTGGCAATGGCTTGCGCCGCTAAACTATCAGGGCAGGAAATAGTCATATGGTTGCCATAAAAGTGGAATTTTCTTTAGTGTTTCTGGCTCATAAATCCTGCGACGTTATCTTTAATGTATTGTTGCAGTTCTGTAATCGTTGTGTGATTCAAGCTGCCTCTGTCAAAGCGTTCATTCGCTCTTGTCGTATACCCGAGCTGCTTAATGGGCTTTAACCTCTCGGTTGAAAAGATGAAATGACATCTTTACTTTTAGGCCATTTATGTTAGAACTCAACGAAAAGCTTACCATAGTGAGCTTTACCTGCTAAAGAATTAAGCTATAGCAAATTGTCCTTGGTATGGAATTGTCTCTAGCTCTGCTTCCAAATGGACGTCTCAGATTCGTTCTCAGCTTTCTGTAGACTTACCAAAAAATGAATAGAAGTGTGTTTGGGACAATCGACCATAATACACCTTGTAAGCTTAAAGCTTGCAGAACACGACCCACTGCATGTGTTCCCAACTCGTTCCTAGAATGAGAATGACGTTCAAGTCTACCTCTCATCGATGCCTTTACAAATTGTTTGGCCTACATTATTTTAATATGCAAAACATTTATTTAGTCGCAGCACTATAGGAGGTTGAACCTCCGAGAGGAGATAAGAGGTTGCCATAAAGTACTGCTCGTTTAGGTCCTACTTCCTCTCTCAGACAGGTTCACTACCGTGATCCGTAATGCAGATATTCATGAAAACATAGTCTGCACAGATTTTCCTTATAATGTCGTTAACGAGAGTGGACAGACAGCACTTATAGTGTTTCCGTAAGTACTTAACAGTAATGTCCTTTCTTGGAGCATTTTCACTGCAAAACAAACGTGAATATAACGCATTGTGCAGGAATCCCAACAGTGCGGGAAGTAATCGTAGATATTTGGTTATCGTTCTACATCATTTCATTTTCAGTCGTTCTTTTTCTGATTATAAAACATTAACCATACCATTTCTCTAGCTCTTCTTCCGCTACAAATCACACCATATGCCGTGCGCGTGTGGCGCAGTGGTCGCAGGCGCCCAGCAACACACACGTAGAATCGATTCCCCCCGCCCATTGCCCAGCAGGCATTCCATCCCTCCGGGGTCAACAAATTGGCATCAGACTTCTCTGGGAGGTTAGCAGCGCTGGCTCGATACACTGCTGGGACATCACGAGTCATTTTAAAGGCCAGATATGCTTTCAATGACCTCCAACGATATTTAATGAAGCCGAATGCATGACGCATCCCTCAGAGATTGATCAACGCCGACAACTTTATCCTTATCCTTTACGATGTTCAATTGCTGCTATGTCAAAGACCTTTAGTCAATCCCTTTACCCTTTATCTCTTGGTGTAACCATCATTTCAAAGCTCGCTTGAAATTCTCTTTTCTACCTTGCACTGTATTGCAAATCGCAGTCGCCTTTGTTCTTCAAGCATTGAAAAAACCAGTACTGTAACGCGTTCACATCCTTTACTGTTATATAAGAAATGAAGGCAATTTTCATAAAACCTGGTTGCACTTCTTCCATTCCAAGCAGTACACTTGGCAAGCTTAGCAGGTGTGTTATATCTTCAGGTCAATCGCCCGCGAACCCCCTTACTGCTTCACTTATCCTGATGGAGGAAATGTAGTGTATGCACTTATGGAACCAAATGGCGTAAAGGTAAATTGGATTTGGAAAACCAACTTTGTTCCAACGTAAGCGGGATTCTTGCAGCATGGGAACCTGAAAAAAAAATCTGATCCACAAGTAGGGGATATCGAAGATCTTGTCGAGTATCTGGATGATATTACGGTAAGAGCGATCGTCAAGCTGTAAAGGTATAGAATTAAACATGTCTTTATAATTTTAGACAGAGCAAGACTTAGTGAATGAAGTTCCTGATACGTATACCGGTGTGAAGGTTAGTAGTTATTTCTTCAATTAAGGATGGTAATAAATGAGGATAAACGGGTTTCGGTAAGCGTAGTACTAAAGATGCCGTGCAACTCGCACATGTTCGGTTCCCTGGTTCGAGCCAGCTTTGGACAAGTCGGCTATCACAATCCTCCATGACTGTCAAATAAGCAACAGACTTCTCCAACAATAACTTCCTCCAACCGACAACGACCAAAGAGCGCTTTTGCTGAAGACCTGGAAATGTACAGCAATGCCAAGTTTCCAGAGGCGTGTGTAGCACAGTGGATAGAGGCTTCCTGCAATGCATGGACTTAGGATCGACACTGCGCCTTGAGCCCACCAAAGCTTCCATCACTTCGGGCTCTGTAAATTGCCACCAGACTTGTCGAGGAGAATAGCAACGTTGATTGGATACATTCGTAGGCCACTGGGAGTCATTGTGCCACCTGTATCACCTGTCGTCCCGTTGATCGTCGAGTGACTCAACCGAGCGCCAGTAAATCTGTTTTTCTCTCTCGCCTGCAAGAGTTGTCCAGTAGATTCCTCTCGCTCTAAAGACTCGCTGTCTATCATACCTTTCTTCTAGTCTTTAATAAACAACTCTGACCATAGAGTCTGTGATCTTCCTGCTGTACGTTTGACTTCCCGCGGAGTCTAGTCACTGACGGCTCTTGTCCATTGGCTGTCGTTCATACGCCTTATGGGTCTGGCCCACCTTATCTTCGACTGTTTGGTGTACAGAACTCCATCTTTGATTTTTGATCGTTGACGCAGTTCGGAGCTTCAGATCCCATCTCTTACTTGTGTGAAATGGGATACTCCTATCATCGTCCTTTCGACCGCGCGTTCGATAACGTTGAGTGACATTTCAACCTGCTTACGCACCGACCAGGTTTCTGACGCATACGTTAGAACAAGAAGTACCGCTGAGTCAAAAAGGTGGGCACAGAGTCGGGTGTTCTTTGTCCTCTTCACTACATCCTCAATGCATTGAATGCTCCACAAGCCGCTTGTTTCCTTTTGCTCAACTCCGGACCTAAGGTGTTATTATAGAATTTATTAGGATACAATAGCTGACGTTTCGGCGGTTTCGCCTTCTTCAGAGCCCGGAAAGGTCAAATTGAAATGCGATCTACCCAGCCAAACACTTTCATAACCTCATAACCCTAGCAGATAAAACTTAACAAATAAATAGACTTAACAAATAGAAGTAGCTGAGATATACGCAAAGCGAAGAACCTGGATGGTGTAGTGGTGAAGTGCGCTGCTCCCCGGTAAAGACAACAGCGCGTGTTCGTTCTCCACTGCATACACCTGTGGTCCGGAGTTTTGCAAATATCTCAGCATTATATATGAGTTATATTCGCAACATACCCTGCCATTAAAAAGAAAAAAGGCAGTAAATAAAAGAGTTAAGATTGTGATTAACAAATAAATTTGCATTCGCATAAGAAACAGCTTCATTTAAACACTTACCGTTTATTCGTTGTTAGTATTTAAGTTAGTTGGTGGATAGCAGCCGCACAGAGTAATACATGGGCGATAACTGTGTCTGTGTCAGGTCATTGGATTAGCCCGAGGTATGGCGCCAAGTCGCGCGTGATGACAAGACACTCCTCCTTGCGGTTCATTTTTGAATTTTTGGCATTGATCCAAAACGCTTCAAGAGTTTTACGCGCTGATGTTTTCGATTCCTGCGTGAGGGTAGTGGCTCTCACTTCAAAATCTTCTCCGTTGTGCTCCTGCACCCTATGCGCGCCCAGTGGAGTGTTTGGTTTTAATTTAGATTTACCGACTAGATGTTCTTTTATGCGGACGCAGAACGGCCTACCCGTTTCGCCAACGTATTCGTCTCCGCACGCTTTAAAAGTGATCAGATAGACTGTACCCGAACTCATGCAATCACCGTCTCTACCGTTAGGGCAAATTTTGCAGTTTTCCGTTGAACACTGACAGTCACATAGGCGGTTGCGAACTAGCTGACGTCTTGGAGTGTCCGATGGTATTTCTATCACTCTTACGGAATTTTCCAGACCAACCCTTATTAAGCAGCGTTTTATGGCCGCACTTAATTCCTTTGAAATAAAGGGCAAGATGAACGAGCCTTGTTTTCGCTGGAATTATCGCTATGGGGCCCTGTTTTTCTTCTATGCCTATGCCGAGAAGCTACAGTTTCGTAACCATTTGAAATGGCTACTTGGTGCTCCGGTTTCGAGGATTCTTCCCTCTGCTCTCTACCTGCGCACACGCTGGCGGCGGTTCGAAACATATTTCTTATGAGCGCCCTTTTAGTGTGTGAGGGATGAGAGGAGCGGTAATGAACCACTATAATAACTCGAAAGACCGACTTTCTATGAACCTCGGAATAAATAGTTGATATATTTATTTATGTGATCTTATAAACTGATCTCCTTAAGCTGACGCGAGGTTGGTACAGATCTTCGTTGTCGTTGTCGTAGTCGTTGTTTTTGATGTTATTGATCGATGGCTGACGTTTCGGCGAGTTCGCCTTCCTCAGAGCCGTGATGTTACGTGCGGGACTCTGACGAAGGCGAAATCGCCGAAACGTCAGCCATCGATCAATAACATCAAAAACAACGACAACGACAACGAAGATCTGTACCAACCTCGCGTCAGCTTAAGAAGATCAGTTTATAAGATCACATAAATAAATATATGAACCACTATAATCTTCCTGCTTGGCTTTCGATAGCATTTTGTGCTGTAGCCGTTATCGGATAGGTTGATTTGAACGTTCAGAAATGGAAGCCAGTTTTCCAGGTTTCTCATGGGTGAATTTTATGTACTCTGACTATTCGTTCAATAACTCAAAACATTTGTCCATCTCCTCTTTTGTGGAGCAGGTGACAAAACAATCATCTATATACCTACAGTAGAGTAATGGCCTGAGATCGATTACTGGTGCTTCCACTTTAGATTCGTGTTGCTCGAGAAGCTCGCGGATGGTTTGCACTGTGGAGTCGATATTCACTCTGTTGAGCGTGATTGAGAGTGAGCTTGCGTTGACCTCACGTGGTTTTCAATATACTTAATTAGCGTCAAAATGGTGCCATATTTAGTCACTCCAACACTTTAAAACCTCGCTTTTGTGCCATGGCCGGAAGGTGGACAGGAGTTCTTTCTGGGTTAATTGTTATGGATTTATTTCAGTCGGTTATATGATGTGCGCAAAACACATCAAAGGTCAAAGAAGTAAATAGCAGAAAAATACAAAAATAGTCTATGGAGCCATGAAAGTGTTAGCAGCGGCTAACCAACAATGTGTAATACCTTCAAAAACAACGCCCTGGTTCGAACGCTGTTTTCACCTGCAACGTTTCTGATTTTAAATTTTGTGTATAGGTGTGTCCTTCAGAGCGGCGATGATTTCCGCATCGCTTTTCTGTTGTCATGCATTAAACTAATAGAAGTTTTTTCTAGGAGCATGCCAGTCTTCTCGATGCAGTCTACGTTCCGCTATGGCTTGTCGTACTCATCGCAGTTCTACTCATTTTGTCGACACTTATAACAATAATCTTACAATGCAGAAAACCAACGTAAGTGCTTCACGTCATTCCTTGTATGATGTGTCTTTAAGAAAACAAACAAAGATTCTAATGTTTTCCGATGAGGCAGCAATCACTTACAAAAGTCCAAAGGTCACGTCATGAGTGTGGAGTATACACGAGATTGCGACAAAGTTCTACAAGGAAACTTCGAAAATCTAGCTTTTTCCTCTATGATTTTTCTTGCCACAACTTCAATGTTGCAAGCGCAAGTAGGTTATGTAGCCCAATAAAGTCGATAATACTCACCGTCTATTCCAAAGGCTGTTAATGGACTTTCACTGAGACCACATTTGCAAGTGGATTACTCTCCGCTTCAACTATGATCACCTGGTTGCCAACTCACGCACTTGATCCAACGTCTTCTCACAAACGGCAGTGATCAGGGGGTTAGTCTGCATTAAAGAATGCACGGTGACACATCCATTGTTCATGCCTAATCGGGCCGCATTCGAAGGTGATGAATCTAATAGATCTCTAGATATTTGTCTGAACACACGCTTATCAGTAGTCCAGCATGGGATGTCTCTGACGGATATCGAAAATGGACTCCGTCAGGAGTGGCAGCGCTGGGAACCTGAAATAGTGACTACCTCGGTCTTGTTGGAAAATTTGAAAAGACGGTTAACGTTTGTACTGATATCAGTGTGTAGCTTATACAGATAAAATTCCGGGCCCACACATTACACACGAGGGAAATGAACGTCTGTGAAGGATGCATAAGTAATTATTTTCATAATTTTAGATTCTTACGGGTAGCGCTGAAAGATTATTCGAAGTTCGAAAAACTATTTCTCTGCAGCATTAAGACAAAGGATAAAGCACTCGGCGCCGATAAATTCTTAGGAGATTGGCCATGCATTAGACCTCACCAAACATCGCAGAGGGGAGTGAGTGCATATCCGGCCAACATATTGACACTTGGTAGTTTACCGATATATCAAGTCGCGATCTCTCATATATGAGGGATTTTGAGCTGGTTAGTCGCGAGACTACGTGGCACGTGCCAGTTGGAGGGTATCCAGGGAATTCTTCGTTTCCGCTACACCGATACGGTACAGTGTTTACGAGTACATATTCATGCATGCGTGCATGGGTGTGTTCCCGTTTACGCGAATTGTCTTCTACGAGTCAGTTCGGCCAAAAGCCTGCAATCAAGTAACAGGGAAGTATATGGGAAGCGGTTAGGAGTTGCCTAAAACAGGTAAGCTCCTCGTCTACTCTGGAAGAGACTGGCAAGCTACTCATGAGCATTCACTGCCCCCACGTTCAGAGTTCAACAAAAATAAACGGGCCCCATTCTCCTGGACTCCGAAGAGCAAGGGATTCGGCAGCGTAGGGTAGAACGAGTACAGTGAGGCTGCTAAAATTTCAGGGTCATTCCAAGCCGCCTAAATCGCAAAGAACAGAGGTGACTATCTGTACCTATAATATACGCACACTTGCATCTGAGCCTTCGATAGAAGACTTGATCATGCAAGCGAGACGGACAAGGTACGACGTAATCGGCCTGGCCGAGACGAGAAGACTCCAGCCTTTCAACGTCGTCTATGACACCGGAAAAGAACTGTACCTCGGAACATGCGACAATACAGGAATCGGCGGAGTCGCCGTTTTCGTCAGCACTAATTGGTCCGTGAACATCGATTCATTCGAACAACTAACAACCCGATTCGGACATCTACGATTGAAGAGATGTGCGACAATGCCGGCATTGACAATCCTGATCGTTTAAGTTCCGACATCAAACTATGACGAAGAAGAAGTCGAAGCGTTTTATACGGACTTGGAGAAGTTCTGCAAAGACCATATATTCTTGAAGGTCATCACTGGAGGTCTCAGCGCTAAGACCAATGTCTGCTGTCTGAATTTATCATGACGATCAAGACCATTCATGGTAACTCGTAATTCCAAATGCCCCATCCTCAAGGCTGGACGTAGGAGTCTAACAGTGTAGTGTACCACAGCGAAATAGGCCACATAGTAAATCGAAAGCGTTGCTACCAGCGTCACTGTTGTCCCAAAATTCTACACTGGATCAGACCATCGTCTCCTTGCTAGATTCTATTTCTTGCGAAATGGAGAAAAAGCCGCTAAATTCCAAAGTCCCAAAACCACAGTAAACTGGGATTTCCTCAATGCATTAGTCGGCTGTTAGGAAGACGCCGTTGTCGATAACATCAACGAAGAATACGATCGGTACATTCAACATCTTCACGTTAGCGCTATGAAAGCCGAGAGTTATTTCGAAAGTCACCAAGCGACGTCTGTCCTTAGAAACACTCGGGCTGGTGCGCAAGTATGGAATCACACGAGGGACAGGCAACCACCAACTCACGTACGAATTTGCAAAACAATGCAAACAAGTGATAAAAGCAGAATCTCAAAGAGGGACGAGCAGCAGTTATGCCCAAAGTTGCAGAGGCTGGGAAATGCATTCGAAAGCCATGGAAGCTTCGCCAATTACAAGGTCAAGATGATTTCACTCCGGCGCCCAGACAGAGCAATTACAGCGTCCACAAAGGCAATAGAAAAAATGACACGTCCTCCTTACCTCATGTAAAGGAGGGTGGATATGTCGTAGCACCGGTTCTCCTTCCCAAAATCTCACATACTATTTCGTCGGTGAAAAATCGAGCAGCACCAGGTCCAGACAGGATAAGATCCCAACACCTGAAGAACCTTCCACCAGTCCTCGTAAACACACTGTCTGGGCTCTTCACACGTTACCTGTCTGAATATAAGGTCCTTACTCAGTAGAAGACCAGCAAGGCGGTGTTATTGTCGAAGAAGGGAGACATTTGCGATAGCGACCATCATGCAATCACCATTCACGGTCAACGGAACGAATATCTCTAAATGCTACACTTCTGTCCGTCTAGGTCGAGAAACCAATATGATGAACGACTTGACTCCAGAGTTGAGCAGAAGGAAACGAGCTGCTCGGAGAGCTTTCAAGGGCATCGAGGATGCAGTGAAGGGAACAAATAACGTCTGCCTCTTCGACCCCACGATATTTTCCGCCTTAACGTATGCGTCAGAAACCTGGTCGCTGCGTAACGAATATGAAAGGTCACTCAGCGTCATTGAGCACGCAACCGAAAGAATGATGGTAGAAGTATACCATGTCGTGCAAGTAAGGGAAGGGATCGAAAGCTTCGACTTATGTCAACGATCAAAAATCAAAGACGCAGTTCTATACGCCAAACTGTCGAAGAGAAGGTGGGCTGGACACGTGATGCATATAAATGACATCCGATGGACAGGAGCCATTTGTAACTGGATTCCTCGGGATGTCAAACGCACTGCAGGAAGATCACCGAACGGATTGTCAGAGTACTTCACGAATAGCCTAGAAGAAATGTGTGGTGCTTAACGAGTTTCTAGAGCGAGCAGAATCCACTGGGCCACTCTTGCCTGCTAGAGGGAAAAATGGAATATTTACTGGCGCTCGATATTCAACGATCAGTGGCGCTACAAATGATACAGGTGATCAAGTTGTGAAAGCTTGAAGGAAGGCCTGGTTTGTTTCAGGTGTAGGATCGAACCAAATTCCTTCTGTATATTGCAAAGCACCTTTAATCACTAGCACGTTCAACCTCCAATAGTTATTTAGTGTTATATTCAATATATCAGAATATAAACGCCTAAACGCCAGAGTCAATGTCAAAAAATTACAATTTATAATGTCGATTAAACGTAACGAAGATGTTTTCCCGCAGATATTGATTGATATCGACTTGCTTTGTGATACATAAGGATGAAACTAAAGAAACAAAAGCAAAGTAGATGTTTGTGTCGTGGAGCTAGGAAGTATTCTTTCATAGTAGGTTGGACCATTAGACGAAATTTCAAGAATTTCAGTGCTAAAGACAGTCGGCGGGAGAAACCAGTGAGAAAAACTGACAGCATATCTGAATCATCTGGGCGCTGTAGAACTACTAGCGAGGGCCAATCGATGTCCGCATCCCATAAGTACGAAACCAGCTCCGAGAAGAACAGTCGGCTGAAAACGGGCCTTACAACAGTAGACCCCAAGGTAAGCGTGTGGCACATAGGTTTTCAACTCACCGGTTTTTCACTTACGATGAACCACGTATATTTCATATTTGAAGGAGAACAAGTACTAACCACCCTTCGAAAACATCTAATTCTTTGCTAAAATTTGTTGAATAATGCAGAAGAATAGAAGATCCGAGTGAATCAGATCAGCACGGAGCTTTACCTTTTATTCGGTGATTGGCTTCGCATGGTCTAATGTAATGCGCTATTCTAGTTTCTTTATCATGTCGTTGTTCTCTGTGATTGAACGTCTTAAATAAGCCATCTATTAGTTGATGTTTTCCAAGAATTAGATTGCCTGTTCTCATGACTCCTGTGTAGAAGACTTCTCCAAATATATAGCTGCAGGGAAGAGTACCAGTGAGGTGGTTTCGTTTTGAAAGAGAGAAAAAGAAAAAGGAAGAATAATAAAATGAGGCGATGTCGAGGACATTATCGTCCCTTTTCATTACCTATTTAACAATGCTCTTTAACGTTTTCAGAGTAAAGGGAAGGAGGACGAGCTTCCGACGAAGCAGCGTGATGTTAACGAGGTAAAGCTTGAAACAATGTTCACCGTGGTTTATTCAGAGTTGTGATTGTAAGGGCGAAAACATTTAGCTAATAAATGAACCTGTGACGTCCACAGAATTTGAACTCTACCTCAACCTACTCGCCCGTTTTGTTGTTCAGTACTATGACGATCCGACAATATACGATGTCACACCAGGTGAATTTTATTCCAGCAGAGACCAAATTTACTTTCTTGTACTATGAAATCCACCTGATCAGTAATTTCCACAAGTTTTGTGCGAAGAGGTATATGCTAAACATAAGATTTCAGATGTGAAGCATGGATTCTTGTATAATAAACTGCCGAAGAACTGCCCACAGAACCCGGACGCATTCAACGCAATCTTCGACGATTTCAAAAATCAAGTAGTGCCTGGGGTAAGGACCACTTATCTCTATTTCTGTGGACGAATTGTTCTATGTAGTAAGTAGTTGTCTGGGTGACTGTATCTATGAGGCCGACAAATTCAAAGAGATTCGAGATCTTTGTCCAACAAATGTTGTTAGCTGCAAAGCTACCGTTGTTATTCTCTATACTAGGGAGCGTTTGAAAAATTCACTTCTCTGCAGTTCACTCACTGGCAACATCCGTTTTTCTTCGCATACTATCCGATCGGGCGCTGCTATCCTGATGTTCTGGCCGATTTCATAACATCAGCAATTTCTGTGATTGGATTTTCGTGGGTATGTTTAATAACGTCCAATAGATGACATTTATCAGGAGCAAATTCCTATGAATCGTGAACAGCTACGTCGACCATAACTTGACAGTATAAATAGATACTGAAAGTTGGTCTTCTCATCCAATACTTTCTCGGTACAGGTACATAATGCGAAGTCTAGGATACAACTGGTATCTTCGAATGCGGCTTTTGATTCTGAGAAAGTTTACCATTAAAATGAATTGTACTGCAGAAAGTCTAAAAATATACCTGTAAATGAGCTGATGCGTCCATTTGATCTCTGTATCCAGACAAATCTTGGCAATTACGCAAAGATTGTCAGCAACAGCATCCCTCACGGAATGTTTTGTTCTGGGCGCGAGAATGATTTAGAGAGTGGTGCAAGATTAGGGCCGTGTTGGAGTCCTTCGCGCATCCTTTCCTGTGTTTTTTGTGTAACGGTCATGCTTGAAGAAGGTCTCATTTTTAATATTCTCATCATTCACCACTTGCCATTCCTTCTTATGCATGACAAGATTCCTCTTAGAATTTGAAGCCTGTCCAACGCTTTCGTGAGGATAGTCGTGAAAAAGGATAAAGCTTTCAGCGCTTCATTAAGCATCGTTTGAAAGTGACTGAACGGATATTTGACCTTCACAATAGCTCGCGATGGCTCACCGATGTATCGAGTCAGTGTGCTGCTATCCTCCCAGACAAGTGTGGTATCAATTTGCCGACCGCGAAGGGCTGGAGGGCTTGGTGGTCCATGGGTGCAGGGATCGACTCCATGTGTGTGTTACAGGGCGTTTCCGACCACTGCGCCACACGTGCCCTAATAGTGGTAACCAGACTTACTGCGGAGCGATTCTTTCAACCAATGGCATTAAACTGTCTAAAACGACATTTACAGGATTCCTGTCCTGCACTAAGTGAAGTGGAACACGCAATCGTCAATTGGGTTGGAAGGGCTTTCGGGATTCCAGAGACTTTTCTATTTCAGGTTTCTATCTCATGATTGCATCCGCTCACTGAATCTCTTATTTTAAATTAAAGTCTAATGCAATAAGCGTTTAAAGGATTTGTGTTATCTTTGCAGAGGGAATATTTTAAGAGTGACCTTTTCATGATGAAAATAATTGTTCCTTTCATAGAATTTTTTTCTTTAAGGACTGTCCAGAATCCAGTCAAGGAGGAGGTACATTGACAGAATCCGGATCGGATGCCATTTTCTGTGCACTTCTGGCGGCGAGGCAGTGGAAAATAAACCAAGTACTACAACAGTTTATCCTTCCAGGGTTTCATAATAGAAGAAATTTTGTGCTGCCTTTGCCAATAAATAGCGCGGTTGGGGTCTCATCGCTTGTGAAGGGTGGATTTCTTCTTTTTCTAAAGTATTGAGTTGCTACCTTTCCAACCGTTTACCGCCTCATCGTTGCTGTGAGGTACTCCTGGATGTCGCACCGTGATGCACAGCGGGGGATTCATCCCCTGGCACGGCCTCTCATGCTGAGAGGAAGTCCAGCGTTTCCACCAGGAAGCCTAGTTGAGAGTAAACCAACACCAGGATCCACCACGCTTTGGTATCAAAGTCGCATACTGGCAATTCTCTCTCTGATCCACAAGTGCTGCGGCTGCCTGTGGTGGTGAATGAAGATGGGTAGACTTTGGCCAGGTTGACGTCGGAATTCCAAGGAAACACTATAGATTACCACCAAACCTTCGTAAAATAGAGATTATGCTGGGCCAGCACAACCAGTAAGGACGAGCCGTTCGAGTATCAAGTATCAAGTATTGAGTTGCTAGAGAAGGAAACTGCCACACGGATTTGTTACCAAACGCATCACAAACTTAAACCATGCTAAAACTCATGCTATTAACCTTATGAGTTGTGCAGTAAGTTTGGCTAAAAATTGTGAAATTCTCATAGGTGGCTGAGCAGCAACAGCGGACGGGAGTGGAGAAGTATGCCACGATCCATGACATCGCGAAAAGACTCGTCGTGTACTGCAGCAAGGATGTAAGCTATAAAAGCCACTTTTTGATATTCCATTTCACAAAGGTTGCGGGGTTAAATTTCACGATGTTTTTGGTCCTAAAGCAGAATTTTAATAGGGACGAAGTGTAGTAGTTAACCGATGTGAGCGCACGTCGAGCGTTGCGCAGTTTTTCAAGTTTTCCTTCATGGTATGTGAGAGGGCACATTTGTGTTCCTGTTGTATTTGGTGAAAGATGTTTAAACGATTTGTGGTTGCTTTGCCATCGGTGATGTGTTTAGGCGCACTTTTCCACTGAAAAAGGATGCAAGCTGGCCATGTTGAGATGCCGTGCAATTCAACCACTGGAGGAGAACCAGTGGGGTCTCACCGGCGAGCAGATTCAAATGCAAATCGAAAAAGTCGTATTCAAATCACGGAAATTCGAAATTAATGCATTCGGCTTTTATCTGTTAAAAATATTCGTTGTAGGACATAGAGAAAGGTCTGATTCCCTGCTTCATCAGCTGCACATTAGGAACCACGGCGACCGCCTCTTGCGATAAGCTCACTTCTATCATTCCAGTAGCTAAGAAGTTGGTGTTACCAATTTACTCCTATTCACAAACAAACACTTAAATGCTCATCGATTATTGCAAACCAGTAGAAACCGTATATCTGCTACTCACTGCTTGAGTCACGTTTTGTACGGTTATCTGAATAACATACAACTACCATAACGATGCTGAGATATTTAAAAACTCCGGCCTAAAGGTATCTGCGTTAAGTATCGAACACACTATTATCCTTTCTGGAGGCTAACGCGTTCACCATCACACCCTGCGGATCTTTCGTTTCGCCTGTCTCTTAGTTCTATTGATCAGTGTGCCATCAGCAATCATCCGTCAACGGTTCGTTAGCTCCCGGAAAGGGTAATAGCGCGTTCGTTCCCTGCCGCATACACCTGCGGTTCGGAGTGTTGTAAATATCTCAGCGTCGTTATGATTGTATTTTACATAATATCCAGACGTGAACATTGTAGTAATCAGCAAATAAAAGGCTAACGTACAACTATCAGTTGACGAGCAACTCTTCACTTTTGAACGCAAGATGTGAATATGCTATTAAAGCACATTTCTTGCATGCTGGCAATGCTTTACATAGTTCCTGTATCGACTGTGTTTAGTATGTTATAAAATTGTGGTTATATTTAGATACGACACCTGGCTTCACGTCGACGCCGACTATGCTGGCGGGACCTTCGTTGTGCAGAAGAATCGCGAAGTGGCGTGAGTGCTCATGAGTTGAAGTTCTTGTATAAAGGCTGCAAGGACATGTTTTAAATATTCTAGCAATAGTAGAAGAACACTTTTCTGTTAGTTAGCAAACTGCTTTGAGCATGGGATCTCTAGTTGGTAGTGCAACTAATTACTCAAATGTGGTATGGAGCCTAAATTATCTCGTTGATGTTGATAATGACATTCATTGTACAAAGCCCGTAGTTTTAACAATGCAAAAGCTGCAACTCCGAGTGTGAAAACGAGAGATTTATCGTATATATGGATCCTAAAAAAAAATCCGTGTTTTGTAAGAGGTAGTTTGGCGGCGCCTCCCAACGGTTTACCACCTCATCGCGAATGGAAGGTGTTCCTGTGTCTCGGACTGCGATGTACAGAGGAGGGATTCATCTCCCTGGTACGGCCTCCCATACTAAGAAGAAGTCCGGCGTTTCCATCAGGAAGCCTAGCCAAGAGTAAACCAAACCAGGACCTACAACCGTCCTGGTATCAAAGTCGCACGGTGGTAAATCTTCCTCTAATCCACAAGAGCTGCGACTGCCTATCGTGGTGACGACCCGGGGAAGACTTTGCCCAGGCTGACCTCGGGATTCCAGAGAGCCACAATGGCTTAACCAGAAAATGTGCGAAAAATGGTGATTATGCGGGGGTCCGCACAACTAGTGAGGATGGGCCGTTCAAGTACCAAGTATCAAGTAGGTTTGACGGCGACCTCGTTGCCGTTGCTGTAGCATTATTTAAATTTTTCGTAGCATTAAAAAGGATAAAGCTCTTGGCGTTGGTGAATCCCTAAGAGGTGTGCCATGCATTCGACTTCATCAAGTATCGTTGAAGGTGATTGAATGCATATCTGGCCTTTACAATGACTCGCGGTGACCTACCAATGTAACGAGCCAGTGCTGCTATCCTCCCAGACAAGTCTGGCACCAATTTTCCGACTCTGGAGAGATGGAAGGCTTGGTGGACCATTGGCGTGGGAATCGATTCCACGTGTGTGTTGCAGAGAGTATCCGAGCAGTGCGCCACAGGTGGCCGATAAGCGTTACTGCCAACAAATTTGCGAGATTAACAGCTCTCGCATAAGTTATCTGTTAGGAGTTGTTGTATATCCTTGCCACACATATTCCACTGTTGAAAGAAGCAATTCAGTGAAGGGATTGAGAATGCTCACACGATCAACGTGAATCTGAGTAAGTTCCTTCTGCACTCGGCTACGTTATCCATTATTTGGACAAGAGATCAAAAGGTTTACAAGGACGCATTTGCTGTCACTCCTATCTATCTCAAACCTTCTCATGGCAAGTCTTTTTTTCAACAGGTGAAAACATCACAGTCAAGATATAGTTCTCCGCTGTTACAGATCTCACAGATCTAAGGGATTGGGGATTGCATTTAAGCAGGCGATGCAGAGGGCTAAAAGTGTGGTTCATCATGCGTCTTTGTGGCTTAGAAGGTCTCAGACGTCACGTAAATAAGGTAACGCATGGAGTTCTTGTACTGTAAATATTCGTAACATAACTAGCCCACTGAGGAAACAATGTCTAGATATGTGACATGGCCAGCTACTTTGAGACACTTGTCGACCAGCATCCAAATTTACAAATATTCACTTCAAGAAAGTTCGGCGTGTTCACCTTTCACTACACTGTGCGTGCTTTTCAACCAGTCCTTAGTGTGCATTGGTATCCATTCATTTGATCCGTGGTCATTTCAGGAGCCTCACCTTACGAAAGAAGAAAAGAACAGACATACTATTAGATTTTTACACTTCCTCAACGAGTCTCACAAGATTTTCCTTACCCATTCACAGGTGCCCATTTATTTAGCGCAGAATCGCAGACACTTTGTCCCAAAATATTTCCAGCACCACGTTTCTGTTTGCCTCAAATTTATGAAGAATATATTGTATTCTTGGTGGACCGAAATGGATCTCTAATGCCCCATAGTCGTTGGATGTTGATCGATATTTCATGAATTTCATTTTATTGAGAGCTTGAAGGGATCACACTGACTTCATTTGTTTCAATTCCTATATTTCCTCAAATTCATAGTAAATCACTTAACATTGGCTTTAATCAAATGATAACCAACGTAAGCTGACGAGGACTATTCTGTGCCATTAAAAATTTGTTTGATCGAGCATCCAACAGGTAAATATTTCCCTCTTGTCTCCTAATAAAAAAGGTAAAGCTCTCGGCGTGATCAGTCCCTAAGGGATGCACCATGCATTCGACTTCATTAAACATCGTTCAGAAGTGATTGAATACATATCTGGTCTTTACAATGACACACGGTGGCCTACCAGTGCATCGAGCTAGTGCTGATATACTACCAGAAAAAAATTCTGGTACCAATTTGTCGACTCCAGAGGTATGGAAGGCTTGGTAGGCCATAGGCGCGGGGATCGATTCCACGTGTGTGTTGCAGGGCGCTTCCGACCCCTCCGCCACACGCGCCCTTCTAGTCTCTTAGAAATTCTCTTAACAGGGCGAAATCAAGTAGGTTTTGCGCGACAAGCTCGTCATAGCGAATGAAGAGCAATTTTACTAAAAGCTGAAAACTGAGTGTTTAGACCTCGTGTTAAGGCCATTTTATTGCTCACTGACTGGGTAAAAGTATCGTCTACAGGTTTTCAAAACAGTGCACAACCAACGAAAAATTCCTTTATGTCAGGTGGCCGATACCAGTGTTATACGTGTTTCGGTAAGCTACGAGCGAACTACAAAGGAAACCATCGACCAGGCGTATGCCTTAATGAAGTTCTTGGTGGAGGAATATAAAAGGCGAAAAGGTACTGTAGGATTTTGAAATGCTCATGCGTTTGTGGATTCATTTATAAACCCGTCAAATCATAGACTCGGTGGGCTTCTGCAAAAGTTGAAGCAAAAAGGATAAAAGGATAAATCTCTCGGCGTTGAACAATCTCTGAGGGATGCGCCGTCGACTTCATCAGGCAAATCTGGTACCAATTTGCCGACTTCGGAGGAATGGAAGGCTTGGTGGGCCATGGGCGCGGTGATCGATTCTACGTGTGTGTCGCAGTGGCTCCAACCATCGCGCCACACGCGTCCAAAAGTCGAAGTATTATTACATAAAAGTGGAATGATGTAGTCGGAACTGTCATCGTAATATTCATTTTAGAGTTCGTAGTCGTAATTACCATCGGGTAACACTATTACTTTTAGACGACCCATCACTACTGAAAACTCAGCCAATCATCCCTTCGATAAAAACGCATCATCGCATTGCTGACAATGATGTAGAATTAGATTTGGCAACTACACCAGCAGTATTCATAGCCAAGGTGAGATCCAGACCAGTTCGAGCATCGTTGCGCAAAATCTTCTTTAACTTAATGACAATCACAATATTCTCAGAATACTGACGACACTGGGAAGGGCAGTTCGACAGAAAATCAGTCACGAAGGCCCGCCGCGGAAGTCTCTTCCCTTTCGACTAGCGGGCGAGGAAACCCTTCAGGAATTGATAAAGTGTCCACGTCGACGTCCAACAGTGCAGACACACCTAATCCCTCACCAACACTATTGCCACTGACCACTTTTCAGACTCCTTTCAAAGGATGAGTTCTTTCTCAAAGGAAATCTATTGTTTGGACATAGTGTATTTGCTGTAATATGCTTGCAATCCTCAATTATACTAGTTTATTTCCATATGTGAATGACTGTTTTGTCGTAACATGTGTGCTGATGTTTTGATGGAAATAAAAAGTTAGCATTTCAATCGTATTCAAGTGCGAAGTTACGGTACCATTTGTACTACCTTTCGTGTTTGTGATCGTCGAATGACTCGAGTGAGGGCCAGTAAATGTTCCATATTTCCCTGTCGTTTGCAAGAGTAGCCCAGTGGTTCCTCCCGCTTTATGGAGCCATTCATGTTCTATGATCATCGTGAAGAACTCTGACCATCGAGTCGGCGGTCTTCTGCTATGCGATTAACGTCTTGAAGCATCCAACCGCTAACGACTTGTCTTCATTTGTTGTCAATCAGACTGTGTCCCGCTCACCTCATTTTCAACGTTCCAGTACGCACGTGTAGCGCAGTGGTCGGAGGCGCACTGCTGCGCACACGTGGAATCGATCCCTGCGTACATGGCCCATCAAGCTTTCCATCTCTCCAGGGTCGATAAGTTGGTTCCAGACTTGTCTGGGAGGATAGCATCACTGGCTCGATACATCGGTAGGCAACCGCGAGTCATTTCAAAGGCCAGAGATATGCATTCAATCATCTCCAAACGATGTTCAATGAAGTGGATGCATGGTCCATCTCTCAGGGATTGATTAACGTCAAGAGCACAATCACTTTTTTAATCCAATATGTGCAACGATATTTGCGATCTTTCATTGTTCACGTAGATCGAAAGTCTCAACTGAATCAAAGGCCTTCTGTAGATCGATGAAAGTGAGACAGAGCGGTCTTTTGTACTTCCTCGATACTTCAATGACCCTTATTATCGTGTGAATAATGTCCATCGTACTGAATCCTTTTCGAAACCCTGCTTGCTCACATGGCTATCTATTATCCAGTGCCCGTTAATCCTGTTTAGGATGAGTCATGTGAAGAGTTAATAGAGAACAGACAGCAGGCAGTATCCGATGTCGTGGACGTTACACATGTCGAACAATCTTGGTCACCGTCTTGCTGGTCTTGCACTGTGTGGGAACTTAGCGTTCTAACAGGTAACGTGTGAAGAGCCGAGCGAGCGTGTTTATGAGGACTGGCCAAAGGTTCCTCAGATGTTCTGATATTATTCTGTCCGGTCCAGCAGTTGTTCGATCTGGATCCAGTTCTGGTGTCAAAATCTCCAATGATAACCTTAACGAATGCTTGGTGTTCTCTGTAGGAACTCTTGAAGCCCATGTAGAACATTCTGCCTTCTTCTTCCTCATAGCTTGCGATGGAGATTGTCAATGTTAAACGACGGATTAGGGCTGTTAGTTGTTTGAATGAACTGATGCTTATGGCAAAACTCGTGTTGACGAGAACGCCGACATCAGCGACTCCTCTACTGTCTGCTCGCTACGAGAAACTGTTCTTCATCGGTGTCATAGATATTGTGGAATGGGTGGCATCTTCCCGTCTTAGTCACTTCGTTGACGTCATACGTTATCGTACTTGCCTTCATGACCATGTCCTCTATCGTGGAATCAGATGCAAATGAGCATACATTGTAGGTGCTAATCGTCACGCTAGTTTTTTTTTCGAGATTTAGGCGGCCTGGAATGTCTCTGAGATTCTAGCAACCTCTCCGTACTCGTCCTATCCAACGCTGCCATATCGGGGACTCTTTCGGGACCAGCGAAATGAGGTCCACGCTTGATTGAGCGGACAGAGAGAAAGGTGAAACAAGGGCCTTGGTTAGCGGGTTGGATAGCATGTGAGCCCGCGGCAACGGTAGTGACGGGTTCTAAACTCAGCTGGGATTCCAGGTTTCGCTCACGTCTCAGCATTCTTGTAATGGCAGTTCACATCGTATTCTCCAATGAAAAGAGGCTAAGCAGTAAAGGAAAGTAACGACGTCGAGGAGTAAATATTTATTGCAACGTGGCAGTTTCATTAACGGTAAAATTAGCCATAAACAACTGTATCGAACAAGCAACTGTATGAAATCAAACTATGAATAAGCTTTCGATTCATTTCCTTATCGTAAAACTGCTTCTTATCGAATGAGAGATAAATGCAGCAAGCTCTTCTTTGACCATTCAACACGCTGGATTCATTACCTCAACCTGCTCTCCCAATGTTTCCGAAGACAATGAGTGACCAAAGGAAAGGTCTAGTTATAATGTTTAGATTGTCGAAATTCTGACTTTTTTTTAACACACAGCCGTAGTCCTACTTCAGATCATGCGTCGGTAGCCCCTTCATATTCGCATACGAACTCACTGAAAACCGTGTGGTTGAATGAGGGTGACTCCTGCGGCTCCGTGGGAGCTGCACAGGGAAGAATGCTTGGACACTCTGTTGAACAGGTGAATAGTTAGATGTGCATGTAACGTTGCAAATAATGATTCATGGGTTGTTCTCTGGCACTGCTCTAAAATTCTCACATGAAGGTGCCAACTGCTTAGTTTTACTGCGCTTTATTTGGAGATCTTGACCAGATAGAAGTTTCCATATGATGCCACTACTAAAGTCAGCTAGCGAGTGCCTTAGTATCACTTAGGCTTGTTATTATCTACTTTACCAAATATATCAACGCTGTAAACAACAGTGTTATCAAGAGTATTGAAATCACTCATCTCATAACAGTAAAATGTCGATGGACTACTCACTCCACTCAATCCGCGACCATGAGCAGTGTATTCCGACACATGTATGGGCTTCTTTCTAAGTTCTGCTTTCGACACATCAATAGATTTTAAAGTCTCGGGTATCGTTTTAGACTGTCTATTCTGATGTCCTCGAATTTACTGATGGCTGCGTCAATGACAGTAACTATCGTGACGATTGATAGAGAACAGAACGATGATGAATTAGTAACGGTACGTGGTTATATTTCAGTGGAATATTTCTCTCCGTCGCCGATCTGGTAACCGTCAAAAGGCACGTACGCTGTTCTATACACTGCTTTGAAACATTAGCAGGCGATGTTGATCCTTCCAGTGTCTTGCAATGCAACATTACCACTGCAACGGCGAACTCTGCTGTGAAATCCACTCATAATAAGGCCCATCGCTTGCGTCTATAAACATAATCTACAAAATTCTCCTAACAAAAGAGTCTTTGAAAAGGCCATAACAAAGTTTGCTCAGGATAAGCATTCTGGATAATTTCCAAGAATCCAGTAATGAACCGCATCAAAGAATGCCTCACTATCACACGAGATCTTGCCCACCATCTGAGACCGATCTTTTAACGTGAAACTGGTTCATTACCCTCCAATTTGATCTCAGCACCGTTGTAAATTAGGTGTAGCAGTTTTTTCGTTGGGATTATGGAGGTGCTTGGCTGACTAGGTTGCAGTCAACTCAATCTCTCCAGACTTTGAAGAAAGCGAAATCCTGAAATGAAAAGAAAGCTGAAATTTTCAGCTGTTGCCAATAAATAATATGTAATAACAACACAAGTGTTCTAGTCAAAAAAAAAATAGCGAGCTATTCATCTATCCCTAACTTGATAGAAAGTCGGTCTTGGGATCACTTCGTTTACTACTTTCATTTATGAAAGACCTGACATCGCACGTATCACATTATGCGGGTCCCAATCCTCTTGCATTCGATTCGTTTTCTCGCATACAACACCAACGAAGGTCTTCAAACTTTTGCGCATGGGTTCGGATGCTCATTGAGGTTTCCGATCTTTGCTGTGAATGTCGTTAAATGTTGCTCGAGTCGATTCCCTACAATCTTCAGAAAGTAGGGCTCAGCGTCGTTATCACGTGGATTAGAGGGAGTGAGCTTGTCCAAGACTACTCTGATATTATTCTGTCCAGACCAATCCTAATAGCGGAAAGATGAGGGGCTTGCTGACCGCAAGTGGTCGAGCCAACACTTGGCTAAGTAGGTCAGATTATCTCGGTGGCTAATAAATGCTGCACTACTCACTATATTCATTTCATTTTATCCAAAATATCACAACTGCAGTTCACATGTATGGTTTCTTTTCAATCTACATCCACCACCAAAAGTCACCGTTAGCTGGTGCTTTTCGAAAATTACCTATGGGTTCCTGATAACCATTTTTTGTAGAATATTTTAATCAGCGTCTGTAAATTAGTGAGTCGAGTGATAGAGTAAACCTGAAGTAGAAAAAGAAGAGGAAGAAAGAGTAAATAAACATAAGAAGTTAATGAAAATGAGAAAATTTTCCTCGTAACTTTCTTGAACACACAATGAGCGCTGCCAATGTTTCGTTTTTCAAGAACTGCACCACTTGGAAGTGAGAGCTTAAAACTTGGCAGATTCATGGAACCAGCTCTGATTTATCGTCCTGAAGTTGTTTACAATTACTCCACAGTGTAATTTTAATTCAAAGAGCGGTTAAAAATAGAATTTTTAGAAACAGGAAACGAAAACGTAATCATGGAGTCTTTTCTTAAGCACAAGTACTTTAAAAGCAATTTAAAAGGAGGCATTCGACGACACCATCGCGTTCTGTTCGACGAAATCCGGATCGCCTTGTTGTTCGGAATACGTCGACGAAACATAGTGACAAAGACAGTTTTTGTAGACTCTATAAAATTTTTCTCTGATTTTCATATCGAGGAAACGAAGAAAAAATCCGTTTTTATTGAAAAGGATCTCCAGAATAGAATGGCCGTTACTTACTTGAATACTTGGACGATCCGTCTTAACGAGTTGTGTGGACTCTAGCACATACGCCATTCGTTCCTTTCTCTCGCACTCATAGTCCATGGTGGTGGTCTTGTTCGAGCATGGTAGAGCGTGCGAGTTTCATACCGTGATCTGCAAAACAGTTGCAAGTGCGGGTATAGCTGATTAACTTTGTTTACGAACACATCCGCCCAACGTTTACGTGGCCATCCAAGGAGACGTTTGTATTCTCTTGGAGTCCACTCTACTATTCTTTTCGTCCATCTGTCGTCTGTTCTTCTCATTATGTGACCGGTCCATTTATGTTTCGCTGTCGATGTATATTATCCGGGAGCTCGAAGATGTGATAGATTTCGAAGGTCAGAGCTTGACGAGAGCGCGTATTTTCGGGTACTTCAGCTGGTCGGTGGCTTCCTTGAGAGGCTCGAATGCGGTCATTGATCACCTAAGGTATACGTACGACGACCAAGTGGCTACGAATGGCCCTCGCCTGAAAATAATTGAGCTTTCCAGCTTCAAACAAGCTTTTCTCAGCTTTTCTTTACATATTTATCCTCTGCCCTCTTATGACGGAGTACCACATATTTTATAGATTCCAGAACTTTTTCATTCACAGCGTTTTCTCGCATTCATTACCCAGAATGTTCTTTCGATCAGCAGGAGGGTTCGCTTGCTGTTCAGAACTTCTGACCCTCCCAATGAAGGTAGTGTAATGCTGAACGAGTGCATTATAGAATTCTGCGAAGTTCTATTTAAGTTTTCCTTGGTTCTCACCACATGCTATCACTTGGGTTGGAGTGAGCTTTTCCGTACAAATCTGGTACGAACTTGCTGACCTCGGAAGGATAGGAGGCTTACTTATGACTGCAAGGGATCAAACTAGCGACATTGCGCCTATTGTACGACGTATCTAGCCACGGCGCCTTGCGTGCCGAATGTTTCCTTACCAACAAAAAGCAACTTTTTCTCTTTATGAAATGTAGCTTTTCTAGAATCCACGAACCCTTTTTCTTCACTTCAGCCGTCGAGACTCTCATTTCGTACAACGAAGCGATTCGACAAACGGAATTCCGGATTGTTGCAATTGCGTTAAATTTTCAAAAACTATTTATCGTTTTAATGAGCCTGGAAATGTAGGTTATAGACTGAAGGAATTGAAATTAAAATAATATTTGAAAAAGAGCATAACCTTTGGTCGGCAGATTAAAGTCTTTTCCATTCTTAAGTGCTTGATAAACGGATAGAAGGATAAAGCTCGCTCTCAGCGTTGATCAATCCCAGAGGGATGCGTCATGCATTCGACTTCATTAAACATCGTTTAGAGGTGATTGAATGCATATCTGGCCTTTACAATGACTCGCGGTGGCCTACCGATGTATCGAATCAGTGCTGCTACTATCCTCCCAGACAAGTCTGGTACCGATTTGCCGACCCCGGAAGAATGGAAGGTTTGGTGAGCAATGGGTGCGGGGATCGATTCCACGTATTCCACGTACGTGTCGCAGTGGCGCCTCCAACCGCTGCGGCACACGCGTACATGATAAGTGCTTGATATATCAGTCATTTATCATCAATTATCGATTTTGTCACTATTAGCTAATGTGTTAAAGTTGAAAAGTTCAAGTGATTTTGGGGCCTATTAGTTGGAGCCAATTCGTACTGGTCATTGTGTCACGATATTTTTTGGAATTCGGTGCGCCAGATATTACAAACATGTGAAAAACGAGGAAATGTGAAGAATCGATGTGGGTTCACTGACAAAGCAATTTTCAATGAGGTCATTTCTTAACATTTATATCCGACCTCCAGATGCAGAATGTCAGCAGTTCATTCTCTACTAGTATAAACCAAACAGAAATCTTTCCTTGAAGTTGTTTTTAAGATAGTATTATTAATAGCTTACAATTCATCACGAGCACGGTGCTAGTTCGATTCCGCTCACGGTCAACCAAACATCTCATCCCTCCGGGATCGGGAAATTGGTACTGGACTTCTCTGGGAAAGTAAACACTCCCTGAAATCCAATTGGGAAAGCTCCAGCCCGGCTATCTCAGGACTCCAAGAAAAATTGCTCGACCAGCATTCCACTGCATTCAAGATAAAATGAAAATCCTCAAGCAGTAATCGAAGCCATACGTAAAAACTTCGAAGATCTTCGTGGACAATGGATGCGAGAAAACGGATCGAATGTGAGAAGTGCTGGGATCTGCACGGTAGACGTAAAAATGGGTCAGATAAAATAAAAGAAAGAAAATAGAGATTTTTCATTTACGTTACCTTTAAGATAGTGGTATTAAATCTTACAATAGGCTAATTGAAAAAGGATGTGCTGAGATGTTACATCCGTGTAATGTGAAAAGGTAAAGTTGACAAAAGGGTGCTGTACTAGCTCTTTATTCTGTACCAATTGATTAAATCGCAACGGAGATCGATATGCGTGGTGGAATGTCTCACTATGTTCATCCAGAGAGAGCCAATTTTCAAAACGGCATTTTGGTGTGGCGTGTCAGGAATTTGGTTCTACTCTTTCCAGCATTACCTGTTCATCAACGGATGGTTAGAAATCGGGCAACTTTTTAGGTTCGCGCTTTCACACATGAGTTCAGTGTTCGATTCATAAAACTGTCCCCTGAAGATGGGGCTTGTGCAACGTATGAGGAACTCGCACAACAACATGCACCCCTTGCTGGGCAAACGATGATCATAATCCTTCTGTGAGTTGAATTTTAACATGAGGCGCGTAAAACGAGGAGTAGTATAACAGAATGACCTTTATTAAGCAACTAGAATTTCATGACGAAGGCAACTGAATCACCCGTCGAGGTAGTCGTTCTTAAGTCGTATTCGCAACCGCCATTCATTGCAGATAAATCTTCGCTCTTTGAGTGTGTTTTCAATATCACTGTTTTGGAAATGGTAAAAAAACGTGCTTGTGACTCAACTCACATTTATGATAAGCTTTCTGTAGCTACTCATCAGACACTCACAGAACCTGCCCATAACCTTTGTGAGTGGTGTTGGAGAAGGCGAAATAACCTCTTTCTGCCGTCGTACTTGGCTAAGTTTGTTCCTCAGACTTCGTTCAGACGACTCTGCCACAATCGCACAGATAATCAAACTTTTGAGTAAAACCATTTTCTGTGAAAATTACTTCGCAAACGAAATAGGAGCGGACGCAAAAAATGCTATGAGTAACAGTGAAGACTATTTTGTTTTTGCCAACGTTTTTGAATTCCTTAGGAGAATAACTACTTTGATGTGCAGTTTGGAATATGTAGATGTCTGGTGGTTGCACCTCACAATACATTTACACAATACATTTAACATGAGATTGTTTACGAGTTTCCATAATTCGACGTCTCTTGCTTAGGCATTGAAATCAATGCAGGAAGGTGTAAGATGAGACTAGTTTTGCTACAGACACAGTTACACCAGACCTATGTGCAGTAAAAGGGGTGATGGAAATATTTTCGTTCTACAACACAACCCTGATGTCGAACAAAAGGTGAGCTATTTTCGATCAGTTTTATTTCCCTCTTCAAACCGGACGCATTCTTATACATTAGATGGTTTCTCTTCAGTTATCATCGCTAACGTTTTCGAGGACGACCTCGTTAACAGTTTTCTTCCTAGGCATACAAGTATGGAAGATTGAGCCAGCCTCCGGAAACTGATGTCATGGAAGATTTACAAGATTTCATAGCCGTTGTAAAGAGAGACACGACAGTAATAATATACATTTTTCGCAATATTTCGTTAATAATTCGTCCATGTTTCATTGAGCGTTCTCATTTCCACTAAATAACGTAGATAATGCTCTAAAGCTCTCGGCGTTGATCAATCCCTGAAGGATGCGCCATGAATTCGACTTTATAAAGTATCGTTGGAGGTGCAATGATTAGCGGGGGATTACCGATGTATCGAGCCAGTGCTGATATCCTCCCAGACAAGTCTGGCACCAATCTGCCGATCCCGGAGGGATGGAAGGCTTGGTGGGACATTGGAGCGGGGATCGATTCCACATGCGTGTAGCAGTGACTCCTCCAACCACAGCGCCATACGCGCTCCTGTAAGGTAAATGAGTATATAAAATTCTCTAGTGAATGAAAATTTGTGAAAAAACAACTATCTCGTGACCACTTTTCTTTCTTTCATGGCATCTTGATGAGAAGCTGGCTACGGGTGGGTCGATTTGACGGTTCTGCTTTCACTGTTAGTTGTGTTTCTGGATAAATCCAAAAGTGGGAATGCTTAAACGTCTTCCGAAGACGATGCAAACGATACAAATGGTACACTCAAGATCTAACCGGACTAAACATCTGCACCACGAAGACAATGGAGAACACCCGCACTAATTCCGCTAGTGATCCTCCCTTAGCAATTTCAGAAATTTAGAATTTTTCCGAAAAGTTCAACGGTAATTCGACTTCATCGTCCAATTCTCGAATGGCTTAGTTCGCACGAACAATGTGACAGTGCCTGGCACGGGGCTGTTTTCGTAATAAATTCGTTCCGTAGCCTATCTCAAGCACACCAGCATGAAAACACTATTCGAACTCCAATACAGAAAAAAAGAATAGTCCAGCCGATTCCAATCTCTTTGTACGATTAAGGTATCATCGGATAGCAATACGTACTACTATAAGTCTGAAAGCGATGTGAGTTCAACTATGTTTTTCTCACCCAATATTTCTACTAAATCTGCAGGGATCGACTTCAGGAAAAGGAAAAATCGGGAGTTCCCATACCAGGATATCTTGTATTGATAATCTCTCTGATAGCCGTCCTTGCTTTGACCCTCATGATCAGAGCGTGCTCGACTTACCATGCGGAAAAGTTCGTTTCATTTTTTAAAGTCCATTCCGATTCTAGGATTTGCATGATAGTACAGCAATTATGAGCTTGCATTTATTTAATATCAAAGCGTTTGGTCAATGTCGAAACAGGTTCTACACCCTTAAGGGACAAATTGTGACTACGAATATATTTGTCGTTTATTTCGCTCTGTTTCATCACCTTTTGGATATGGAATTTGCTGTTTCAGACCGACTAAAGGCGTATTTGAGAAGTCGCCCACCAGTCGAAAGTCAAAACAGAGTGAGCCGACGCGAAGCGATGGTTCAAAAAGCACATCAATTGCTGAAATAACTTTGGCAAAGAGTTCGGTAAAGGAAGCAGGTCCAAGCGATAACAAGGATAAACTACGTCCAGAGCTATCGAAAGACACCAGCGTAAGTTTACAGGCTTCTTGGAATTTAATTTTCAATGTAATCTACTCTCTACTGTTAGAATGCCGTATCGAAGGAGGAATGGGACGACTTTGCAATTGTTACTGCAAATCGACGTGGTTCAGAAGAGGTAAACATTGCTCATTACTTTTTACGATTCAAATTCAGAAGTTTGCCGATGAGTATACGAGCGCTGGTCTGCATGACGATCATGGAGGTGGTCATCAGTACTACTTGTGTAAGCCCATTAACTATGAAATAGCAGAGAAAGTAACTAGACGGTCGCATCGCATGTGAGGTCTTCTCTCTGCACTCAGGCGAACCACAGCTGCTCGGTGGGCTCCACTTGATCGAAGAAGCCAAAAACTATCATGATTTTCGTTTGATGCCGTTTATTTTTATGTTTGTTAGTTTTGAGATGGTGAGACTATGAATCATTGGGTGGATAGAAAGCGTGATTTACCACATGTTTCGCGGGAAGGAAATGTGGGAACTAGGCGAAAATACGTTTGATATATAGCAGAGAATCTTAAACACTTCTAACTGCTTTGGAGTTTTGCGACATATTTTACAGTTGCTAGAGATTCCCGTGACGTCACAAGAATTTTTATTTTATTTGCACCGATTGGCAAGAATCGCTATTGAATATCACAACGATCCTACAGCGTTCAATGTAAGCACTGGTGAGAGCTAGAATCCTGTTGCTGTGTACCACTTTTTAGGTCACCATTTAATCTATTTCTTGTGGTCAGTCTGAGTCTTGTACAAATCAGACCATGTTTTCGGTGCTTTCTCATTTACAATGAATACATTCCGGTCAGCATGATTCCATTTTAGACTGTAGTCCTGGTTTCCTTTATCGAACGATGCCGCGATTTGCACCAGAGAATCCAGATTCATTTACTTCGATCTGCAAAGACCTAAGGAACAAGATCCTCCCTGGAGTATGTTGTTAAGAATTCTGCTCTTCTCATAATTCGCTGTTGTTTATAACTTGATTTTTTTGAAGCTCCAAAAGTGTGCAGTTGGTTACAATATTCATAGTTCATCGATGGCTTCCGTGATGAAAATAGCAGCTTTTCAATTTTTATTAACGGATAAGAGTATGCTTTTGGTATCCCGTGTGGATATTGGCCTGGAAAATAAGACGACCATAGTTTAGCTTTATATTAGGCTAATGAAAAAGTTTCAGACGAAAACCTCGAAATTCTGTACTCGATTCGAACACGTTTGTACCAACAACTGTTGGCTTTCGTTTGGTAATTGCTGCCTTGTTTTGGTCCACCACATGAAGCTCTAGGCTCTTTTTGCTGCTGCATTTCGAATTACAAACTTTTGCAATTAAGTAAACAATACAACAATAATATGGCGGGATTAACAAATGCATGTGTAAACACTAAGGGTGCGTGTGGCGCAGTGCTTGGAGGCGCCCTGCAACCCAAACGTGGAATCGATCCTTCCATCCCTTCAGGGTTGGCAAATTGGTACCAGACTTGTCTAGAAGGATAGGAGCGCTGGTTTGATAAATCGGTAGACCATTGCGAGTTACTGCAAAGGCCAGATATGAATTAAGTCACCACCAACGATGCTTAACGAAGTCGAAATGCATGACCCATCCCATCAGGGATTGATCAAAGCCGAGAGCTTTATCCTTTTTTAGTGTGTAAACACTATAAATAAAATAAGCAACAACATCATGAATGTGCAAAGCTTCTACAAAGAGTGAGGAGGGACGCTAACCATAAAGAGGTATCTTCTTTGATAGAGGCTTAAATAGTACGCGAAAACAAGGTATCGTACATTACTAGCCGAGGGGAGCCATTGTCGGGCAGAAGCGCGCCAGTACAAGTGGGTTGACAAGTCAGTAGCTTATCCCTATATATCATCTCATGTGGGTTTATTTACTGTTAGAGAGGATAAGAGTTATTGTTGCCGAAAAAGAGGTTCTAGAGCGTACCTTGTAGCACTTACGAAAGTATGTGTTATGAAATCCTTGCCACCCATGCTCTTGCACAGTTGACACAGAAGAACTATTTCGTAGTTCACAAGAAAACATGGCTAAATGCCATTAGAAACAATGTATACTTAACAGGAAAAGAGTATGCTGATCTAAAAAATGGAGAATATTCATGACGAATATTCCCTATGCAGGAGGCCTATTTCGATATAAGGTGTCCTTGAGAATGTGTTCGCGATTTGCACCATCTCAGTGACGTCAGTTTTCTTCAGGGTTTACGATGTGATCAACAAACTGCTCACCTTTTTTACGTAAAGGAAGCAAAAGGCACTCTTCTTTGCACTTCGTTTAATTGATGTCCCACCCATCTACCGAAAATTTTCACTTCTCCAAGTTTTTCTGGTGTTCTTGGGGGGAATCTGTCAAAAACCAAACTAGAGTGTTCAGAATGGGTGACGTTAGACTTCTCACTTTCTTGTGGAAGCGTGTTCGTGCAGGCGCTGTAGTTTCCTATCAATGATGCATTATACCGGATGTAGGATTGTTGAACCGCTAGGAGGACATATTCCTAATTTCTACTGATATGGAGGTATCTGGACAATGTGACGCGATAGGAGCAGTTCTGGATATCTCCTATTGTTTCTGTGGAAGCACTTAATGCTCCGTAATAACACCAGAAAGGAGCTATCTAGTCTTCCATGGTACTTAACGAATTCTCGGTGGACTATGCGCGTACTAACTTTTTTATTTACTGCCTATTACAATTGTTCACGGCAGGTTATTAAGTGTTACTCAACCACAATGATGATCAGATATTCGCAAACTCCGGACCGCAGGTGAATTAGCTGAGAAGCAGGCGAAACGAAGAGCACACGTGATGTGGTGGCGAACGCGTGAACCCCCAGAAAGGGTAATAGCGCGCTCGTTCCCCACCGTAAACACCTGTGGATCGGAGTTTTGCAAATATCTCAGCATCATTGTGGTTGAATCACACATAATAACCTTCCGTGAAAAATCGTAATAGACTGTAAATAAAAAAATTAACATTTATTTACATGGTCTTATAAACTGATCTGCTTTAGATGATGCGAGGTTGGTACAGGTCTCCAGTAGCATAATAAGAGTCCCACTGGTAACATTACGACTCTGAGGAGGACGAAATCGCCGAAACGTCAGCCATCGACCAACAACAACAACAACAACAACAACAACAACAACAACAACAACAACAACAACAACAACAACAACAACAACAACAACAGCAGCAACAAATACGATAACGACGACGAAAACCTATACCAACCTCGCATCAGCTGAAGAAGATCGGTTTATAAGATCATATAAATAAATATATCAACTATCTATGTCGAGGTTTATAGAAAGTCGGTTTTTTGAGTTATTAAAAAAAACACTGCTATGCGCATGCTCTTCTGAACTTCTGTAACTCCAGCCAGTACTGTTATTTTCCTTCATACAAAGACCTTTTTCCTTTAGATATTGCCATATATAGATCTAAAGGAAAAAGTGAAAACTCAATGTACCAAATAGACTAAATTCGAGCGTGCGTGTAGCATAGTGGTTAGAGACGCCCTGCAATTCACATGGGATCGATCCTGCCTCTGTAGCTCAACAAACTTTTCTTCCCACCAGGATGGACAAATTGGTACAAGACTTGTCAGAGAGAATAGCACAGTGCCTCTATACATAGGTAGGCCACCGCGAGTCGCTTTAAAGATTAGATATGCATTTAATCACTTTCAGCGATCCTTAATGAAGTCACATTCATTCTCAGGGCCAAGAGCCAAGAGCCTTATCCTTTCTCCTTTTATATTAAGTACTGAATATACTAAATACTAAATACATTAGATATACTAAATATACTAAGCGCTAAATACTAGTATTGTTAAGACTTTTAGAACTAGTATTCAGCTATTGTACTCCGAATACTTGTGGGTACGTACAACGGTTCTTTTCAGATGACACACCGGCAACATCCACGTTTCTATGGGTACTTTCTCGCTGGCCGCCCTTATCCGGACATTTTAGCAGAAGTGATCACCTCTGCGATTGCCTTCTACATTTTCTCCTGGGTGAGACTCGTTACCGCTTAATTATCTAAAACTTGGGTCAAACTTTATTTTATGAATTTATCGTAGCCAAGGAAATCTTCAAGTATCATTTCAGATTGGCGCTTTAAATTGATCTGCCATCACATTAACTCGGAACCACACATAATTATTTGTTTGAGACTAAACAAGCGACCTTAGTTACCTGACAACCTATTTGTCTCAATTTTAATTTGTTACTGCAGAAGACTGCTACTGTTACTTGTTACTTCACCACCACGCCATCCGAGTCCTTCGTTTTGCCTGAAGTGCACTACTCCCCGGTAAGGGCGATAGCGCGTTCGTTCCCCACCGCATACACCTGCGGTTCGGAGTTTTGCAAATATCTCAGCATCATTGAAGTTTTTCACAATGTATACCCTGCCGTTAAAAAGAGTAGGCAGTAAATAATAAGTTAAAAAGTCTTGTGTTTTGCAGCGTAGCCTGAAATAGGGACAATGACAGCAATTTGATGACAAACTTTCTCTCGAAACATAACAAGTGGCATGGCTGTATAGTCAGAACATATCAAGGCAAATCTTCTGCACTTACCTCCCACACATCTTATAATGAGGCAACATCGTGCCAGTAGGACAAGATCTCAACCAGTGGATGAAGTGACCTAAGATGGAATCCTGTCGTTTCGAGAAATGACCTTACTTTGGCATTGATTTTAATCCCAAGCATTTCATAAGCGTGCACTGTTTTTCTCATCCTACTAGCCAAATTTACACTTACACACGTTTTGCTGTTAAGGCAGCACTCTACGATTGTAACATCTACTCTTGATAGTAGAAGAACGTGAATTTGTGTTACTTCCCTGTTCATCACCACTCTTCGCTCATTACATCGATCACAGTCTCGTTTATTCACGTTTATTCAAGAAGTACAAATAAGACTGATATGATATTTTGGATGATAACGTGAAAGATCTGTGTTGAATAACAACCGAAGCGAAGATCCAGTTGAAGGGTAATTACATATTCTGAAGCATTCTTCTTCATTTAGCATTGCCTGGAGTTGATTGAATACATATCTGGCCATTGGTGACCTACCGTTGTAACGAGCCAGTGCTGCTATCCTCGCAGACAATTCTGGTGCCAATTTACCTGCCTCAGAGGGATGGAAGGCTTGGTGGGCCATAAGCGCGGAGATCGACTCCACGTGTGTATTGCAGGGCGTCCCCAACCACTGCGCCACATGCGGCACAAAAAGGAAGAAGAGAAAAACTACGGGTGTCCTCGAGACCTCTGAAAGATGCAAATTGTTTAAACTGACGTGCTAGAAAGCACCCATAAGTAGTAGATCAGCCTGGAAATCCATAAACGGTTTTGTTTATGTGCACAGGTAGTTATAAAAGCAGTTTAAAAGATTTCACTGGATAGTTATGCTTTTGATACATGTAAACGAGATTGTGACACAAAACACTGATTAAGGTTAGATAATAGATGTTGATTTGCAGAATATAATGATGATCCCATAATAATCTTAGAAAAGCTGTCCAAGTTTGCACGAACTGGAGTACACCGTAGTGAATTGGGTTGGGAGAGCTTTCGGTTTGCCGGAGGAGTTTTTGTTCCAGGTTTGTTCAACGAACAAATTTTTAAAACTTTAAGCCGCAATGTTGATATTGCACAGATTCTTAAGAGTGTAGGATAAGAGCATAGAACTCTAAATGATTTCATTTTAAAAAGGCAAAAGTGCTGAAACATCACATGGAATAGGATACGTCGTCGAAAGTCTTGCTCGCAAGGAGGCATTCTCTTTTGGTGTTTGTTAATTTTTTCTTACTTATGACTGAGTCGATGATTTAAGGAAGATCCCCAAAATAGCGCTGGAGGAGGGAGCATCTACGGAAGTGCATCAAATGCGATTTTTTGCTCTGTGATGGTGTCGCGATACTGGAAGATTAAACAGGTCGAAGTATCATGATGATTTGAAATCAAGTATATTCTTTATTAAAGTAATTATTTTAGGTGAGAGAAAAGGAGAAGGCAGAAAAGACACCAAAATACGAAACCGTTCACGATATCGCAAAGAACTTGGTCGTTTACTGCAGCAAAGACGTGAGTGGTGTTTTCTCGAAATCAGTTTTTCCAACGCATATTCCGAAACAGACCGACAACGAGGACAACTTTTTGAATTAGCGATTCTATTCAATTACTTTTCGCTCGCGATAGAATTTGTTCACTGTTGGCTTTTTCCATATGGTAGACTTCAAACCTCCAAGCGATTTACCGCCTCATCGTGGCCAGAAGGTGTTCCTGGGTGTCGGGGTGCGTTGTAATGTACAGTGAGGTATATTCATTCCCGACAAGGTCTCTCAAGCTGAGAAAGAGTTCGACGTTCAGGAAACCTAGATAAGAGTAAACCAATGCCAGGATCCACCACCGTCAAGTCGCATGGTGGCAAATCTCTTTCTGATCTACAAGGGCTTGCGACTGCCTGTGGTGGACCTGGAGCAGACCTTGGCCAGGCTGACCTCGAAAGTCCTGGAAACCGAAATGGCCTAACCAGCAAATCTCCGAATATTGGAGATTATACTGGGGCCCGCACAATCAGTGAGGACAGGCTATCAAGTACCAAGTAAGTAATAGGTCTCAAAATCTGGATGCTTTAGTGTGAAAATTTTCACAGCACCTGGTATCTGTAAAGTACCGAAGTCGGTGATATGCCTACACATAAAAGAATTTTTCCTTTCTGACAGCACTATGTTTACCGCTCGTTTCAGGCGCATTCCGCAATCGAAAAAGCATGCAAGGTAACGATGGTGCGATGCCGATCCATTGATCCATTGCAGGAGAATAAGTGGGGCATTACTGGACCTCAGCTTGAAAAGCACATCGTCAAGGTCTCTACAATGATATATAAAAAGATTTCACTGAAGTCTTGTTTCGTGGCAAGCTTTCTTTAGGACCTCGAGTCTGGCCTCATACCGACTCATTTCCACTGCACTCTCGGTACAGCAGCAACCGCCGCCGACGATGACCTTGCTTCAATTTTTCCAGTCGCAGAAAAGTCAACAAAAATTGCTTGATTTGTACGAAGTGATCTTGAAACTCTTCAATATTTTATTTTTCAGGTACGGTTTATGGATTCATTGTGATGCTTCGTACTCAGGCAACGCGTGGATTGATGAGAAGTATAGAGGGAATGCGTGAGTTCTTTGTATGAAAGAATGAGTGTATCAGCCCAAAACTTTCAAAAAGTTGTTTTTTAATCGATCAAGGCGAGGAGATATCTTTTATTTCCTAGCGACTTTTGGGTGTCCAATGTGAACATAGGAAAGGCTTGCAACAGAAATTTACGAAACCATTTTGCTATGATTCGTCCGGTGCTGACAGAATTTTTCTAGATGAAGTCTTATAGAGTAGTTTTCTTGCAGAGACCTTAGTATTTACCCTTCGTCTAGCTGGTGACACTGGAAATTTTTGGTACAGCTGTGATCTTAAATTTCCTCACTGGCTGCATCTTTTTAGATATTTATGAGTATGTGATGGTGTGCGAAATACTACCCTCTTGTCTTACACAGAATGCTCACGTAGTAGGAAACTCTGCTTTTTATGAATCATTTACTTAAGCCCTTCACAATGAATGTCTGCCATTTTTTGTAGTCCTCAAGCCCAGATCTAAAAGGAATTCCTTTGTTCCTACAGGAATAAAGGATGAAGATGTCGGCTTCGATAAATCCCTGGGGGATGCGCTATGCGTTCAACTTCATCAAGCATTGGTGTCTGAATGAATATCTAATCTATTCAATAGCTTGTGGTAATTTACGGATGCATCAAATCAGTGTTGTTAATTTCTCAAGGAAATCTAGTACAAATTTGCCTGCTTCGGATGGATGGAGAGCTTGATAATCCTAGATCTCAGCGTCAGACCTTCCCACTGTATGCCTCAAAACACATTAGCTTTCGTTCAGATCTGCTCTAGCGCATGCTCACTCTATCAACGTTAAGCTTCACAAATCTTTGCTGTTTTCTGGCATGTCATGCTTTATTTGGACAAGAGACCTAAAAACCTACAAAGACACGTTCAAAACAGGTATTTTCCAGGGAACACCACTGCAAGGTTTGTGATCTGTTTGTGAAGTTTCTAAATTTGAGTGCTTCAAAAATTTTCGTGGTTTTCCGACCAATCTTGATTGGTCCTTAGTCATGGTTATCTTTTCGAATTGTCCTGATATAAGGACTTATTAACAAACCATTAGTACAAGGCAATGAGGAATGAGCATTTTTGATAAGCGCTCTTTTCCAACACTGGCCGTCTGTCTCACAGAGCGCGCGAGGTTAACAAATATTGAGGGGTTATTGTTGATTCGTTAGCACTCTGGCCCCGTTTATTTCACGTTACCGGTGACAGTTCCACGAACTTCATGTACCGTTATTTTGTTGCACACGATAGGCGGCCTACAATAAAGGAACTGGTTTCTCTGAATCTCTGCGATGTATGTGTTAACAAGGTCCTTAATTGAATCATCTTCAGTATGCTTAACTAAGTATTTGCCAAAAGACACGTGAGCAGGGAGAGCTTCGAAAATGCTCAGTTGCCCACGTAGTAGCGATGAAGCATCGAAAAAATACAGAATGTCGTACTACTCCACACTTATCGGCATTCGATGCTCTTAATGCTGAGGTAGTCGTGGAAGCCAAGTGGAGTCTAAAGACCTGCTTTCGGTTTAAAGAATTTTTCATGATCGATACAGCAATAACTACTCAGCGCTATTATAAGCGAATTAAAAAACACTAAAGGTGAACTTGACAAGTAATAGTAGTAATTTCGTCCAACAAGATGCCAGTCGCACAACAGTTACAACATTGGCCTGATTTCTTCACGAAGACCATGGAAGAAAAACACGGCGCCTCCTTTATCTCATGAAGTAATGGTACGTGTCACATCACCCTTAAACACAACGCGACAATTTGCTGGCGTCCACTCGAGTTGTTAAAGTACAAATTAGGTGATAAAGGGTGGTGCATTAAAGAACGACAGTATTTGTTGTCATAAGAGGGTAAATATGGAACTGATCACGGCAAACTTTTTGAACGAGCGGCTTTTTTACACAGTTCACTACATCATGTATTCCCAGTTACACAGATCCCAGCATTTCTTGCTTTCGATTTGTTTTCTCACATCCATATTTTACGGAGATCACCAACTTTTGTACTGTGTTCACCTACCAGTTGAGGATTTTGTCTTCTTCATGAATGCCGTTGAAGCCTAATTGAATCAATTCTCTTTTGAATCCTAGGACGACAGTGCTAATGCGTCTCCAGTTTACCATCAAAATCAGTCGCTAGTTCTTGTATACTGAGCCGATGCCAAGCAAGCCAGGTCTCAATTTTCCGACCTTTAACGAATGGAGGTTTCGCAGACTCGGTGCGGGGTCGAACAAAGGCCTTGCAAGTACTGGAAGGCATAATCATATCTGCACCACCTGCGTCCGAAGGAACGCTTGGTCGGCAACAAGCTTAAAGAAATCCAAGCAGTGCCGCCGATAGAGTATCTACATGAAAAAACCACAGGCGCGTAACTGATAGTAAAAACCACTCTATACCTGCGTTTTGGCCTTGTTTGTGTTGTTTTGTTCTGTTCTAGTTACATGCCCAAAAGTTACGGTAATGTACCATTTTTCCGATTATGAGAAGTTAACAATAGGTAGTCATGCCAAGTGTTTCCTTTCACTACGTTGTTTTCTGAAAGTTGGCGCCAAAGTTGAACTACGAAGTGGATTTTCTGTTTAACTTCACAGCGTCAACAAATCCGGATTTGCGTGCTATATAAAACTGTACTGAGATAAATTCTGTGTGCTAAAGCGTGACTGACGAGAATTTCATTATTAAACCACTTCATATATACTTCATATATATTTTTGGTGTAAACGCAGATGTCACGGATATACGTGAGTGGGGAGCACATACAAGCCGAAGAAACAAGTCGCTGAAAATCTGGTTATCTTTAAGAATGAATGGGTTGGAAGGCTTGCGCTTCCATTTTAACAACGTGGGTTTTTTTATTATTATTAATACAAAGCGAAGTTCTACAAATCCCACTTGCAGGCTGTGGAAATGTGTGCATACTTCGAGTCACTTATAGCCACCCATCCACTTCTAAAGATCTACTCACGAAGGCTTACTCTCCTCACCTTCTATTATGAGGCACGCACACGGTTGTGTTAGATTTAACGTTCCACAACTCCACGTTTATTTCTCTTTACACAGGAGCCTGGCTGCACCAGGGAGGAGAGGAACATTTATACTGAGAATCTGTGCCAGTTCATAAACACAAGTCACAAGCTTTTTCTAACACACACTAAGGTGAGTATTTTTTAAAAAAAAACCGTGATATTATCGCGCATTTTAAACCTTGTTTCAAAGCTTCTGGTCCGGTTGAGACCAACAGGGGCAACTTTTCATCAGTCACTGAAAAGGCTTATGGTCTCGTATTTCCTCACTAACCTACTCGACAGTTTGCAGCAGCACGCTATGCCTTTGAGAAGTTGCTTCCTGAAATTGGCAAGCAAAATATCAAAACAGGCTGCGACGTTTAGATCTATGAAAGGACATTCCACCTTCGCTATATGACAGAATATATATATATATATATATATATATATATAGGTTTAAAAACGATAAAGCGTCTAGCGGTTAAGAATGCATGAAAAATCTCCACTGCGTTCGACTTCACCAAGCATTGTTAGTGATGATTGGATGCACTTTTGCCCGACATAATGAGCCCAGGTGATGACCCACCGCTGTGACAACTCTGCTGCTGTACTCCCAGACAAGTCTACTTTCGTTATACTGACGTAACGGGGATAAAAAATGTATATATATATTTACAATTTTTAATTCAGTGTTTTCTTTATGGGAAAACACGAGGTTATTATTGTATTAGTTACTCATTCACAATAGCAGAAGTCTCGGCGGTTCGCCTTCTTCAGAGCCTTGAATGGTGAAATCGACATGAAATCTATTCCGACAAGTGCTTTAATAACTTCGGCACATAAAACTTAATAAGTAAAACTTTATTTTTTTTTGCATGGAAGACATAAATTAAGACATGAATTTTCGTTCGCATGGAAAACAGCTTCTCTTAAACAATCGCTGTTTTGGTCTTTGCAAGCTTTCCAGTTATTTGGTGGAAACCAGTCGCACAGAGTTTTACGCGGACTGGGAGTGTGCCTGATTCCGCTCAAAAATTATCCTGAGGTCTTTTACTACACGCCTTGACTTTTGATGGCAGGGCATTATGTGAAATACAACCACAATGATACTGAGATCTTCGCAAAAACTACACTCTTTTTTGGATTACTAGGTTTAATGCCGGTTTAGAGATGGGTAGCGTAATCGTGCCCGTCATCACGAGCACGGTGCTAGTTCGATTCCACTCCGGACCAACCAAGCCTCTCATCTCTCCGGGGTCGAAGAATTTTTACCGGACTTGTCTTGGAAAAAAGCACTCTGCAGTCCAATTGGGAACGTTTCAGTCCGGCTATCTCACGACTCCAGAGAGAATTGCTTGACCAGCGCTCTACGACATGCAAGACGAAATAAAAATCCTCAAACTGCAGACGAAACCACACGTAAAAGTTGGAAGATCTTCGTGGATAATGGATGCGAGGAAATAAAGCAAATGTGAGAAGTGCTGAGATCGGTGCGGTAGACGTGATGACGGGTAATATAAAATAAAAAAGTGCCGATTTGTACTCATCTGACAGGTCATTTCTAATGGCACCATTAGGATAAGAAAGTGGCTGACAGAAAGGCAAAGCAAAGGCCTCAATGGTACTGTGGATAGTAGGTGAGCCGCGAAAGGGTAATCGCGTGTTGCGTATATATATATATATATATATATATATATATATATCCAATTTTCCAATTTTACACAACCCAACATCATGCGTTATGCGTATCCTAGTACGTCCTGCGTCCGATTCCTTTCCGTTCATCTAAGCACTTTCCGCCCGCGTCTTCGAATGTTCCCGTGGTTTCCGCTGCTACTTGAAGAGTTTTGATGTTCATATGTTGCGTCCTCGTCGGGTCGATTCTTTTTGGAATAATGGAAAGCTATGTTAAAACATTCCCAGATTCAATGCTCAGATTTTATGGATTAGAGAGGGCTCTCGAAATAGGTTTGGTACAAATGTCATAATTCCAAA